TTTGTCATGATTCACCTAAACATGAACTTCCTGGCCATGTTGTCTGGTTGTCGGAAATACAAACCCCTGATCACCGCCATCCCCGCTTTCTTTCTTCTCTCTTGCCGGGGGTGGCGCGACCTTGACCGTCTCCTCCTCTTCCTCCTTCCCTCCTCATTTCCTTTTGTTTTCGTCCATGATACCTGTAATGGCATAGAGATGAGTTTGTGAACAACTGAGGGGCCAGGACCACTTTTCTCATTGCTTTAATCCTTGGACTCCTGTTGCCACCTGGTGACCATTTTATGCAAAAGCAGATTTCTAGAATTCGAGAAATTCCCATGGCTCCAAGCAGTAAACATGTATCACATGCATTTTTTAAAAAGTGGGTCAAGTATTCACAAGTAGCTTACTTGGGTTATTTTGATTGAAAGACACTGTCCAGATCTCCAGGCATTAGATAGCTTGACTGGTTCTAAAAGATCCCCACGTGAGGGTCTCAGTCCCACCCCTGGATGACAGTACTGGCTCTCCTCTGCCAGAGACCAATGTAAGATGGTTGGTTATTTGTTTCCACGGCCTCAATTCGTGAGCCTTAGTTGAGTTCGTATTGCTGTGAAGAGACACCATGGCCATGGCAACTCTCATAAAGAAAAGCATTTAATTGGGGCTGGCGTGCAGTTTCAGAGGAGTGGTCCATGGTCATTACGGCAGGAGGCACAGTGGCATGCAGGCAGACATGGTGCTGGAGCAGGAACTTAGAGCTCTGCATCTGGTTTCCCAGCAACAGGAAGAGACCATGCATGAGCCACTGGCCAGGCCTGAGCATCAGAGACCTCAAAGCCTACCTTCAGTGACACCCTCTCTCCAACAGCAAGGCCATAGCTCCTAATGGTGCCACCCCCTATGGGCCTATGGGGGTATTTTCTTCTAAACCATAATACCATGTCTTCTAAGAAGAGAGAATACATGAGGATGAGGGGCAGGTTCCCAGGATCGGTACTGCAGTCTGAGAGAGGATGGCTACACCCATCATCTCAGCCAATGACACTATCCCTCAGGGACTGGTGACTGTGCCCGCCTCCAGCATCTGGAGACAAAGAAAGGGACATGTAAGTTTCTCTGGATCATAAGAAATTGAATTGTTGCCGGGTGTTGGTGGCGCACGCCTTTAATCCCAGCACTCGGGAGGCAGAGGCAGGCGGATCTCTGTGAGTTCGAGACCAGCCTGGTCTCCAGAGTGATTTTCAGGATAGGCTCCAAAGCTACACAGAGAAACCCTGTCTCAAAAAAAAAAAACCAAAAAATAAATAAATAAAATAAAATAGTTGTATGTGTATGGGTGTTTTGCCTGCATGTATGTCTGTGGGCCACCAGCATGCCTTGTGCCTATGGAGGCCAGAAGAAGCTTTGGATTTCCTGAACTGGAGTTACAGTTGGTTGTGAGCCATCATGTGGGTTCTGGGAATTGAACTTGGCTCCTCTGGAAGAGCAGTCAGTATTCTCAACTGTTGATGTATCTCTCCCACACACACACACACACACACACACACACCCCACACACACTCACACACATACAAATATAATAAAAAAGATACAAATATTCTGTGCACCAGCCCTACAATTCTTCCTACTTTGTGTTGAGTTAGTCTTGGTTAGATGACTTAAGAGTGTCTAAGAACAAATCAAAGAATTCAGAGGCAACTAAAGCAGGGAAGGAATCAAGGAGACACCGCAGGTGACTCGCTAAGAGACTCTGCCATGACGGAGAACTTCCCGAAGCATCAGGGCCAGGCGCCACTGGGAATCCCTCAGAGCCTTGTGAGATGCACTGTGGTCAGCACACTGTGCGGACGCTCATCTCTAGGTGCCCGTCCATTCCCTTTCCAGACTGTTCCTCTGTCAGGGTGTATACGGTTTTTTGTTTGGTTAGTTTCTTTTTGAGACAGGGTTTCTCTGTGTGGCTTTGGAGCCTATCCTGGCACTCACTCTGTAGACCAGGCCGGCCTCGAACCTCACTCTGCCTTTGTTCCAGCAGCAGCAGCAACAGAGCCCCGAGGGGCCTAAAGTCTAGAAGAAATGTCCTGGATGCCTACAATTCAAACGACTCCTTTTTTTTTTCTTTTTGAGACAGGGTTTCTCTGTGGCTTTTTGAGACAGGCTGTCCTGGCACTCGCTCTTGTACCAGGCTGGTCTCGAACTCACAGAGAGATCAGCCTGCCTCTGCCTCCCCAGTGCTGGGATTAAAAGCATGCGCCACCACTGCCCGGCCGACTCCTTTCTTCTAAGGTTTGAATCTAGGCATGGTGGCTTTTGTCTATAATTCCAGAATTCGAGAGGTTGAGGCAGGAGAATTGCCTCCTGCGTTACACATAAGGACTTCTAGGCTAGGCTGGGAAAGAAAACTAAGCAGATAAAACCACAAGACACCCTCCAGGCTCAGGGAGCTATGCAGGAGAGGAGGCAGAAAGACTGTAAGAGCCAGGAGGGATGCGTAACAAGGAAACTCTCTTCCAGACACAACAGGACAGAGGCACAAATGAACTTCAGAGTCCATTGCGGCATGACAGGGCCTTCACAGGTTCAAGCAAGACACGCCTCCACATGGAGAAGGGAAGTGAACTAGCCAATGAACTGTCTGTCATTGATACCTGCTGCCAAAGGAAAAGTCAGTCTTCTCCAATGAAGTCTCACTGGGTATACCCATCGTACCCGAGGGCGGGCCACACGCCCAGCTGAGCTGGCCAAAGCAAAGTGAATTCAGTGGTATTTTTTGTGAACTTTAGTTTTATTTTGCAATGTTCTGGGATATATTTTTTTTATCTGGTTCACATCATGTGCACATTGACCACTCCCCACACACATGCAAACACGTGCACTACACACACATGAAAATGAAAAAAAAAAAGGGGGGGGGGTGAACCGCACTTACTCTTTTTTTGCTTTTTTTTTTTTTAAAGATTTTACTTATTTATTATGTATACAACATTCTGCTTCCATGTCTATCTGCACACCAGAAGAGGGCGCCAGATCTCATAACGGATGGTTGTGAGCCACCATGTGGTTGCTGGGAATTGAACTCAGGACCTCTGAAATAGCAGTCAGTGCTCTTAACCTCTGAGCCATCTCTCCAGCCCCCAAACTGTACTCACTCAATAAATGCCATTGTCACAGGTCACTCAGAACTTCATGGGATCCAAAGAGAGTTCAGCATTGACAGTGAGCAACAGGATCATCTCAGGCTCATTAATTACAGTAGATATAATTAATATTCGTTAGATTGATGTCTGACATTATTTAAAACATCAATCCAGCCAGGCGGTGGTGGCGCACGTCTTTAGTCCCAGAACTCGGGAGGCAGAGGCAGGCGGATCCCTGTGAGTTCGGAGACCAGCCTGGTCTACAGAGAGAGTGCCAGGATAGACTCCAAAGACACAGAGAAACCCTGTCTTGAAAAACCAACCAACCAACCAAACAAACAAAAAAACATAAATCTAAATGAGTGGTGATGGTGGACGCCTTTAATCCCAGTACTGAGGAGGCAAAGACAGCAGATGTTTGAATTTTGGGCCCCAGTTTCACTATATATAGTGGTAGCTGAACTCCTAACTCAATCTCACAGACATCCGCTTGGCTTTGCCTCTCCTTTGGATGGATTAAAAGGCTTGTGCTACCATGCCCAGCCAAGTTTATTTTCACTTGAGGAATTGCCCTCTTTCTCACCATGGGCAATGTTCTTGGTCTCCGATGATCTACCTCTGTTTTAAAATCGACATGAGTCTTCTTTTGACCATTGTGAAGAGGGTCACTTTGAATCTGCTAGAGTACTTATCTTTAACGCGTTTTCTGTAGTTAACACATAGTTTGGTCTGACTTATTTTCAAATCTGACAATCTATACTTTAGGCATTTAGTCCATTTATATAATTCATTGAATACGACTAGTGGTCTTATTAGGAAACGTGTATTGAAATTTGTTTCCTATCACGTTCGAGGATGGAAAAAAGAATTGTGTAAATACGAAACAACAAAAAGTGACTTTGAGGAGCTGGAGAGATGGCTCAGAGGTTAAGAGCACCGGCTGCTCTTCCAGAGGGCCTGCGTTCAATTCCCAGCACCCACACGGTGGCTCACAGCCATCCGTGGTGCCCTCTTCTGGTGTGCAGATATACATGGAGGCAGAATGTTGTATACAGAATAAATACATAAATAAAATCTTTTAAAAAAAAGTGACTGAGGTGTTACCACAAAAGTAGGTTTTTCCTTCAAAAAGGAAGCCTTCTTTTGTATTTGTTTTGGGTGCCTTCGCGTGCTAATCATTAGATAAGGGCTCTGTGAAATCTCTGATGTTACTACACTAGTTTAAAACCAACCGAGTCTGTGGTTCAGTGTTTTCGGGTGCATCGCAGTCGCTCCCATGCTCGCACAGCGAGGAGGAACCTGCTGCAGGGGTCTCGGGCAAAGCGTGAGCAGAGCAGCGCTGTCCCCATCTGATGTCACCCCGGTTCTGCACCCTGAACTAAAGCTTGCCTGCGCGCTCCCCGGGGGGCCCACAAACCGCCCGCAGGGCCCGGGAGAGCCTTTGGATCCCCCAGGGAGCCTCCCCTTTCAGCGCGCGCCCCTGCGGGGGCTCCCACAAGCCCCTGGGGCAGATCCCGGACGGGCTGGCCCGCGTTGCATGCTGGGATCTCGCTGACCCGTCTCCACTCCTCGAGTGCTCGCCTTCCTCGGGTTCCGGGCACCGGGACTACATTTCCCAGGAGCCACGGCGCAGGCCGTAAACTATCAACTTCCGGTGTCCTGGCGGCGCCACTGAAGACGGTCAGAGCTCTCTGGTAGGAGGAAGTCTGTGCTCCGGTTCTTCACGGAGTAAGGCTGGAGCCTGCGGGCCGGGCGTGGACGGTGGGGTGGGGTGTGTGGGTGGTGGTGTAATGCGAGTGTGTGTGTGAGTGTGTGTGTGTGAGTGTGTGTGTGTGAGTGTGAGTGTGTGAGTGTGAGTGTGTGTGTGTGAGTGTGTGAGTGAGAGTGTGTGTATGTGTGTGTGTGAGTGTGTGTGTGTGTGTGAGTGTCTGTGTGTGTGTGAGTGTCTGTGTGTGTGTGCGCGTGTGTGTGTGTGAGTGTGTGTGAGTGTGTGTGTGCACGTGTATGACTGAGTGTGCACTGTGTGAGTGTGTGCGCACTGTGTGACTGAGTGCACTGTGTGAGTGTGCAATGTGTGACTGTGAGTGTGCACGTGTGTGAGTGTGAGTGTGCACGTGTGTGACTGAGTGTGCACGTGTGTGACTGAGTGTGAGTGTGCACTGTGTGAGTGTGAGTGTGCACTGTGTGACTGAGTGTGCACGTGTGTGACTGAGTGTGAGTGTGCACTGTGTGAGTGTGACTGTGTGTGACTGTGAGTGTGCACTGTGTGACTGGCTTTGAGTGTGCATGTGTGTGATTGAGTGTGACTGTGAGTGCACTGTGTGACTGTGAGTGTGCACTGTGTGAGTGTGACTGTGTGTGACTGTGAGTGTGCACTGTGTGAGTGTGACTGTGTGTGACTGTGAGTGTGCACTGTGTGAGTGTGACTGTGTGTGACTGTGAGTGTGCACTGTGTGAGTGTGTGTGCACACCTGATCTCTCTGTGGGCGTCGCTGTGCCAGCCGCCGTCCACCCCGCTGTCTGTCTCTCTCTCTCTCTGTCTCTCTGTCTCTCTGTCTGTCTCTCTCTCTCTCTGTCTCTCTGTCTCTCTGTCTGTCTCTCTCTGTCTCTGTCTCTCTCTGTCTCTCTCCTCTCACTGTCTCTGTCTGTCTCTCTCTGTCTCTCTCCCCCCCATTCCCTCCCCACGACACTAGTGAAGGGGAGGGGCGGGGCGGGGCTCTCACCAGGGCGCGGGGTCTGCGCTCTCTCTCTCTCTCTCTCTTTCTCTCTTTCTTCCGAGTGCGAGCGTCACCGCCGCGCACCTCAGACTCAAGAGTGAGTTTGCTCTTCCCTCCTGTCTGAGAGACGAGGCTGTGGTGCTGAGTAGAGAGTCGTCAGGAAGTGAGGACGGAGTGTGCAGTTGGCGCCTCCACCACTGTGTCCTCACATCGTCCCCTCCTTTCCACTCAGTGTCCACGCGATCGTTGCAGAGACCCTGACGTCTCTCTCTGCAGTCACTCCCTGTCCCCAGGACGTTACAGACGGGGAGGACCAGAGGTTACAGTTATGATAAAGCGTGAGGGGCCTGAGGAGCCTTGGTGGATTCCACGGCGGGGGGCACATTTTTGTAGCGCGTGCACTCGGTATCTCCCGAGTCTTTTCAAAGCCGTTAGTCTTCGTCACCGAGTTGCTTGATGTATCCGGAAGTGGTGTTGTGTGGCTGGAATTTTGTAGCCCTAGATGAGCGTCCTCCCAAGTCCCTTAGGATCCACATCCCCCACTCTCAACCACCGTGCTGCTGACCCAGTGCCAGCCACTGACTGTCACCCCCGCCACCCACCGTGTCACTTGTTCCTGGGAGATAACATTTTCAGGTTCAGCATGGAGATCGTGGGTGTTTGTCTTTTGGTTTAAAGACTGATTGTTTTTATCCTAAATTCTGTGGGTGTGGTTCTGTGAACAAGAGCACTGGAGCCCTCAGAGACCAGATGCAGAGGATCTGCTGGAATTACAGGCACTGTGAGCTGTCGGGGAACTGAACTCTTTTTTTTTTTTTTTAATTTATTTATTTATTGTGTATACAACATTCTACTTCCATGTCTATCTGCACACCAGAAGAGGGCACCGGATTTCATAACGGATGGTTGTGAGCCACCATGTGGTTGCTGGGAATTGAACTCAGGACCCCTGGAAGAGCAGCCAGTGCTCTTTACCTCTGAGCCATCTCTCCAGCCCCAACATTTGTCTTTTTAGCTTATTTTACTTGTTTTCCTCCATTGGATATCGTTGCACTGTGTCTATGAATCTCAATCTAGATTTGCTTTGTCTAGTTATCTCTTGGTAGAGTTTCATGTCACAGTTATGTAAATAATGCTGGAAGAAATGCAGGTGTGTAAACGTCTTTTTGAGGTACTGATTTTATTTCCTGTGCGTGTCTGCTCAGTAGTGTCATTCACGGACCATTTGTAAGTTTTATTTGTAATTCTTTTAGCCTGCAGCATGCTGTTTTCTACAATGACTGTATTAATTTACATTTCCTCCAGTAATGTGCTTTTTCTTCCTCGTTGTACTCATTATGCTTTCTTGCTGATACTGGTCACTTTAAATGTGGGCCATGTTCATGCCAGGGTGTTCAAGTCTCTGAAATTGGAGTTAGGGATGGTTGTGAGTCACCATGTGGGTGCTGGGAATTGAACCCACATCCTCTGCAGGACTGTGAAATACTCTAAACCACTGGGCCATCTGTCTCCAGCCCCCTGGTAATTGACACTCTTATCAGGCAGTAGGAGGCCTCTCATTGTGGTTTTATTTATTTATTCATCTTTTTGGTATTTTCGAGACAGGGTTTCTCTGGCTTTGGAGGCTGTCCTGGCACTCCCTCTTGTAGATCAGGCTGGCCTCAAACTCACAGAGATCCCCCTGCCTCTGCCTCCCGAGTGCTGGGATTAAAGGCATGTGCCGTCACAGCCCGGCTTCATTGTGATTTTAATATGTATCTATCTGATGCTTATTTTTTATGTACCTCTAATAGTTCACCTTGCTGTTCCCTGTGTGGAATGTCTGTTTCTTTGTTTGCCTGTCTCCTAATTAGCATGTGTCCTTGTCACTGAATTGTCTACATTCCTTGCTGTGCTGGAGTTCAGATGTTAGCTCTGTGTCAGATGTGTAGTTTGCAAATATTCTCTCCCATTCTCCAGACTCTCCCTCTACGCTTGTTTCCTCTGCTGTGTAAAGGTTGTAGTTTGATGTGAATCCCATTTGTCCACTGTGGCTTGTGTTTTTAATATCCCAAGCCTCCAGTGTCATGGAGGCTTTCCTGGATATTTTTTTTCTAGTAGTATCAGTTGCAGTCCTTAATTTTTAATCTGTTTTGAGTTGACTTTCGCATGAGGTGTGACTGAGGGTCCAGTGTCATTCTACTGCATGTTAAAATTGAGTTTTCCCAGCACCATTGACAAGAGAGGCTGTCCTGGAACCCAGGGTGGCCTGGGGCTTTGGACAAGCCTCATGCCTCTGCGTCTCCAGCACTGGCAATGGAGAGCTGTGGTGATATCTTTTTTTTTTTTTTTAAGGTTTATTTATTATGTCTACAGTGTTCTGCCTACATGTATGCCTGCACATCAGAAGAGGGCACCAGATCTCATTGCAGATGGTTGTGAGCCACCATGTGTTTGCTGGGAATTGACCTCAGGACCTCTGGAAGAGCAGCCAGTGCACTTCACCTCTGAGCCATCTCTCCAGCCCGAGCCGTGGTGATATCTTGTTTGTACAAATAATGCGTGTGTGAAGAGATCAGAGGGTGGAGCTTGCTGCTGGCTAACCTTAGAGGTCTGTACAGACAGATGGGAAGTGAGACTGCTGGGCAGAGAAACGGGAACTCACTCTTTCCCACTGGGAAGCTGGTGAGGTAAAGGTGGCTGTGGCTTACCCCTTCTCCTCTCTGGTCTCTCAGCATTTCCTCTATATCTGACTCCAGGATTTATTATTGAGACCTATTAGAACTCATGCTCTATAGAGCCATGCTACCACATCCAGCAGGACTCCTGCACTTTTGTTTATGGCCTTCATGATCACAGACTTCATGAAAGCCAGTCATACATGTCATGAGGTCACACACTGAACTACCACGGCGATGTAGAAACGTGGGTACAGTGTTTGCCAGCATGAAACTGCAGTGCCAGATGCAGCCGTGCCTGTCTCTAATCCCAGCCCTCCTACTGCAGGATTGGAGATGGGAATCCCTGAAAGGTTAGCTAGCCTGGTGTATGCAGGGGCAGGAGGGAAGGAAGGAATGAAAGAAAGAGAGAAAGAAGGAATATTTGCGTGTGAATTTTGTGGGGAGACAAAATGTGTAATTTTAGAAGATTATGAAATGTGTACTATAGAGTTGGGCATGGTGCTGCATGGCTGTAATCTCAGCATGGGAGTTGGCAGAAAGAGCATTAAGAGTTCAGGATCAGAGCTGGGCGGTGGTGGCATTGCACGCCTTTAATCCCAGCACTCGGGAGGCAGAGGCAGGCGGATCTCTGTGAGTTCGAGACCAGCCTGGTCTAGAAGAGCTAGTTCCAGAACAACCTCCAAAGCCACAGAGAAACCCTGTCTCGAAAAACCAAAAAAATAAAAAATAAAAAGAAGAGTTCAGGACCAGTCGAATATTCTACACTCGCCCAAAAATTAAACAAACAATCCCAAAGTGTATGGAACAAGGCTTAGCTTAGACCTGTTGCCTAGAGTGCTGGTCCCCCGTTGGGTGATGGCTGCTCCACAGAATAATGTCTCAGGGAGTCCTGAGATGTGTGTGCTACTCAGATCTTGCGAGTAGAGGTTGGATGCTGCTGGCTGTTGTCCAGAGCACAGGAGAGTCCATCCACACAGCCTAACACAGAGTAATCAGGTCAGTGTCCTGAGGTAGAGAAACCCAGTTCTAGAGTTTCCAGACTTATGACACCTTGAATTTCTTTTGCGTGTGCAAAATATCTCATATTGTTAAAAGTGGGGAACAAATCCCATTCACCTACTCTGACACCATAAAAAAAAAAATCATGGTTTAATTGATACAGTGGAAGCCATGATCATAAATGGGTCAAAGTAGTCAGGGGAGTGTCCCATGGTGTATGATTCCATTTACTAAAAGTGGGTGCAGAACGCTGCACACTGCCTGAGGATTGCAGCTGCAGACCCTGCAGCTTTGCGGTGCCTCACTGATCCCTGAGGGTTCAGAGGGGTTACAGTTCAGTGGCTGTAACCCTGTCATCCCTGAGGGTGGGGTTCCAGTAGGAAGCTCTGCTTACAGTCTAGGCCTAGCTGCATCTCAGGAAGGAAGATGGGATCCCTTCTGCTGGCGTCTTCTGCAGGAACTTCAAGGCAGACATGGTTATGCTCTGCATGTCCACATTGAGCCCTTGTCGGTGGGTTGTCTGGGGTTAGGACAGGATCGGCTCTCTGTGGACTCCTGTCTGCCTCAATTTGTGTGTGGGAAGCTGTGAGCCGTGGAGAGGAGTGCGTGAGTACGGACGCTGGAGAAATGAAGTAGTCAGTGACGTCAGGCTGACCTAAGTCAGTCTGGGAACCTCACGTGACATCCAATGAAAGGCTTTCTTTTTGTCCCCAGGGGAGGATCCTGAAGAAGAATGGCCAGCTCTGGTTCTCAAGACACGGCCTGTGTAAGTTACGTTCTCTCTTTACATGGGGTGACTTTCAGTTAGGTGCCTCTTTGCTGTCTTTCTCTTGTGAAGCTTCCCCAGGACCCCAAGTCCTCCAGCCCAGGCTGCCCCGTCCGTCACAGTGAGGGTTGGAGGTCAGAGCACTTGCTGTCTGTGCCTCTCTCCTGCTGCTTCTGGAGTTTTCTCTGGATGCATCTGCTCTCTGCTTGGTCTGTGGTCAGGGGGAGCTGTCCTTGCAGAGGAGGCCACAGTCCCACAGGGAAGCAGGGCCTTTGGGGGTTTCAGAATGTTGAGGCCATGGTGTCCTTTGAATCCTGATTGACATCTTTGGTGTTTTCAGGCTGGTGACACGGGGTTTGAGAGTGAACGGCCTGGGTGCATGTGTGTGACGAGATGACCTGCCTGAGGGGCTTTAAGAGAGAGTTCAGTGATGAGAGGGACAGGACATCCAGGCTGTGACTGGAGGGGACGTCAGTCTCCAGAGCTCAGGAAGACTTAAGACACACACATCATCTTGAAGGCAGTCAGGCGCCTTGAACATTTCCATGGCTCCTTTCCCATTCTTGAGTCCTTTCCCTTGTTTCTCCATCTTTTTGTTTTGTTTTGTTTTGTTTTCTAGACAGGGTTTCTCTGTGGCTCTGGAGGCTGTCCTGGAACTAGCTCTTGTAGACCAGGCTGGTCTTGAACTCACAGAGATCCACCTGCTTCTGCCTCCCTAGTGCTTGGATTAAAGGCATGTGCCATCACCACCCAGCTGTTTCTCCAACTTGAATGCTTTCCCAATTTCACTCTGCTGTGTCTGTGGTTTCAGGGCGCAGTGACATTTGGGGATGTGGCTGTTGACTTCTCTGAGGAGGAATGGGCCTGCCTGGATTCTGCTCAGAGGGCCTTCTACAGGGACCTGATGTTGGAGACCTACAGCAACCTGGTCACAGTGGGTAAGGCCATCTGTCCCCAGGAGTGGGGGACGTGTCCTCTACACTGTTGGCTTTCCTCACTCTGAGTGTAAAGACAGGGCCATCTTTCCTGTGGTAGCTGAAGCTGGGCTTGGCTCATGCCTGTCATTCTTCACTCGGAAGGCTGAGGCAGGATGATTGCTGTGAACTCAAGGTCACCCTCAGATACATAGTGAGTTCCAGGGTAGCCTTGTCTACAAGGTGAGGCCATGTTTCAAACAAAACAGAGAAATAAAATGAAATAAATAGGTATATAAAGGACAGGTGTTGGCGGCACACACCTTTAATCCTAGCACTTGGGAGGCAGAGGCAGGAGGATCTGTGTGAGCTCGAGGCCAGTCTGGTCTACAGAGCGAGTGCCAGGACAGGCTCCAAAGCTACACAGAGAAACCCTGTCTCGAAAAACCAAAAAAAAAAGAATATAAATCAACAAATATAATTGGTGTTAGAGAGATAGCTTGGCTGTTAAAAGGACTAGTTGCTCTTACAGAAGGACTGGGTTTATTCCCACCAGGATAAGGTGGCTCAAAACCATCTCTAACTCCATGTCCCGTGGATTCGATGCTCTCTTCTGTCCTTCATGGTCTCTGTGCATGTATGTGGTGCTTAAATATACAGTTACGTGTGCATAAAATAAAATGAATTAAAATTGATAGAATTTTAAAGACGTAGCTGAGTTCCTCCTTCTTTAAAGGAATAATATGGGGTTTCCTTGATTGAAAGCAGGAGCTTCATGAAGCACCTACCTTTTGTGTACACCTTGGAGATCCTCTCAGTGAGCTCTGGGTCCAGAGAGAGACCCTGTCTCAAAAACCAAAGTGGAGAGCAATCAAAGATGACACCTCACACTGCTCTCTGGCGTGTATACAACACACACACACACACACACACACACACACACACACACACACACACACACACACACGCATGTATGCCTACATACACTTGTTCATAAAAGATACATACACTCTACATGCATGCATACACAACTAAATGAAAGAACCTTTATGTTCCACTTAGTAATGAATCAGTAGAATTGATTCAAAACAGAAGTGGACCCATTCTGTTTCCCTCAAGAAACACTTCCTTTACCTGTTTACCTGCTTGGTTGTGGCCATCTCAGGCTGTGAATTTGTCTTTTTCATTGAGAAAATCTGTAAGAATGAGGTGTAAATGTGAAAGAAATCAACTGAAATAACAGTAATGCTCACACTTTTCATGACTGGGGACCTAAGTCAGCGGTAGAGCACTGTCCAGCATGCTCAAACCCTCCGTCCATCCGTAGCATACTACACACATAAATAGGAATTAAAAAAAAAAATGGTTTTGTGTTACTATAGGTCTGACAGTGTTCAGAGTATTTGAATATAGTATTTCATCTCAGTATCAACCCTATCTAATAGATGCCATCAACTCAATCTAAATTACCATTTCTCATGTAGCCTGTGGGGGCTTTGGACTTGCTAAGAAACTTAGCTGGCCTTTAACTTCTTGTCTGCCACCATGCCCAGGTTTTTGTTTGTTTGTTTGTTTGTTTTTGAGATAGGGTTTCTGTGTGTAACAACCCTGGTTCTCCTGGAACTTTGATTTGTAGGCCAGGTTAGCCTGGAAACCGTAGACGTCTGTCTGCCTGTTAGTCTTGAGTGCTGGGTATAAGACATGTGTCAGCACGTCCAACTCCATACACAGTTTTTAAGGTAGGAAAACTGAACATAGAATCTTATGGGACTTGCCAAAATAAACAACATTATTAGTGAGCTGCAGAGGTGGGGTTTACACTAGACAGTGTAGCCTAAGGGTTCATGTTCTCACCATTATGTGTACATTTCCCTTATGTGACAAGCCCTGATCTATATTTCAGTGAGATTGAAACCCTTTTCTGAAACAGCTGATTTTTTTTTTTTTTTTTTTTTTTATGTATACAACATTCTGCCTCCACATATGCCTGTTGCCAGAAGAGGGCACCAGATCTCATTACAGATGGTTGTGAGACACCATGTGGTTGCTGGGAATTGAACTCAGGACCTCTGGAAGAGCAGCCAGTGCTCTTCACCTCTAAGCCATCTCACCAGAACAACAGCTGATTTCTTACCCAGGTGTCTTCTTCTTATCTGATGTCTCTCCTCA